ACTTATCTCTGTTTGTACGTCTTTCGTTTAAAGTCAATCGGTGTATATATAAATAAGATAGATTTGAATTCCTAAAGGATTTGAGTTTCTTGTGATTCATTAACCCTGGCGGCTGTGGTTATCGAGGCGTTATCGGCCGTGCGAAACGATGCCACAAATTCCACACGACGTTTCAGGGAGCTTCGGGCCGCCGTTGGATTAAAGCGTCATCGCGGTGTCGTGTCATGGGGTACAACTGCGATCCTGCAAACGACCCTTCGGAGAATAAACTCCCTTCCAGTATTTATGGACTTTTGGGATTAGCGGGGGGGACGAAGAAGAAGGAGGGTACGGGAGCTACGCATCTCTTTTGTAAACTCGTTCTCGAAACACCTCGGCGATGAGAACGAGAGGAGATCAGCCCTCCTTCCGCGATGTAGATCGCGATCTGTGTCGTTTATACGATACTGTCGCATAGGGGATGCTCCTTTGTTCGCGGTTGATTCTCATCGGAAGATACTGTCGAGTGAATTTCGGAAGTGATAATATACATGTCACGCCAAGCTGCGGTTCTGGATGGATTTTACGAGCTCTTCTTACCTCGCGCGATTTCAGAGAATTATGATAATCATAAATTATTCAATACGATCATCAATGTTTAACTTTGTTCAATTCAATATGTATGAACGTTAGGAACACAGAGTTAATTATACGTTACTTATACGCAGTTTCATAAATCCCTTATATACCATATATGCATAATTTAATATTATATATTTAATATTATATATTTAATGTAACAAAATTTTTTTTGTTACATTAAAAAAATACATTTCTATTTTTACCAAATTAAATTTAAAAATTTCTCGCGTTGTAAAATAAATCTTTTATTAGCCTTTACCATGGATATTTATATAAATTCTTTATATTAGGCAACAATTAAAGAATTAATATTAAGATTTGCATTGATTAAAAATTTCATCATTGGTCTCGCGTTTGTCTCACAACGCGAAGCGTATATTATTATAAAGTTAATAACGTGCATATTACATGCATGCATCATATTGGGTTTAGAATAGAATGGAAATTTATCGTTCGATATCACTTCCTTTTTCCAAACAGCTGATATAATATAACATGAGCTATAATTATACTTGTTTAACAAAATCGAACTTTTAGAAAATACTGTTAGCATTTAAGAAAAAATTCTTCTCTTTATATGACATATTATTTTAATTTTAATAACAATTTCTAATTTGATTAGACTACAAAACATTTTTCTGAAAAAAAATTTCGAGCATCAATATGCTTTGAATAATTAATAATTGCGAATAAAAACATTTTATGAATTCTGATTAAGTGACTAAAATTATAATAAAGCTTAACTATGATCAAAGACAAAATAAAATAAATATAAATAGTAGAAGTAAGAATAGATAGTAAAATACGAACATAAGATCTTAATCTCCAAACTGATACATCTTGTTACAATTTAAATCTTAATACTTTTGGTTTTTTAATTTTAGTCACTCTGTTTACTCTGTTTATTGTGTAAGAATTGTTAAACTATTGTTTTCCATTTCGTTGAAAGAACAAAGGTAACTTGTTAATTCATTCAAAGGGTTAGATAAGTGAAGGTGAGAAAAGCGAAGGTGGAGTATAGTCCACGTCAACAGAAACTTCCCGATGTTTTCTGCAGTTTTCGAGACAGACGTGCGTTTAAATGCGAGGGAGTTTGCGACCTCTCCCTTGGATTGTTTTCCTTCTCGTCGTGGATAATTTCCCGTCTGCCACTTGCACCTCGCGCGGTAATTTATTGTAAACGCGAAGGCGGACGCGCCGGTTTAAACGATTTTCCTGATATGGCAGCGAACAGACGGATGAAGAGACACGGAAACGCCTTCCATCGCCACGTTAACGATTCATTACGGAAGTGTAAATTAGCAGAAATCGTATTTCGCTTGGCATTGCTCATTGCCGGAAACATGCGATCATCACTGAAAAAACAGTTTAGGTTTTTAAAATTGATATATACTTTATGGTGATTCATTTAGAATTGTTTGCACAATTCACAAATACCGAAACTTTATTTCGATTATAAACAATCCAGAAAGTGAAAATTTTTCACAAATTAAGTTTCTTGCTGCTACTAATATAATAAAATCTTATGCAATAAAAAGAAAATAATTTATTTTTCAATGAAAATCTCTCTATTTAAATAATTCTTATCTTAAATAGAACCCTAATATATAATTTAATTGTTTAATTTGGGAATAATGAGAAAATATTGAATGTATTAATATTGAATATATGTTGAAATAATAAGAGAAAAAGAGAAAACGTTATCTAAAATAAATTTTCTTAAAGAAAAGAATGATATTTAGGATTAAATTTTTTAAAATATAAATGAATGGTTAACGGTAGGACGAAAATCTTGTATCCTTATTTTGAAGTTGACTCATACAGTTAATAAAACATTACAATAAACATTGAAGATCAACCCGATAAGATAAACCTGTCCTTCTATTCTGCTTGTTGTAGAAAATTTCAATATTTTTAAAACATGGGGTATTAATACTTTCAGCGTAGTGTTGAGAACAATAAAAACTTGTAAACGTATAATTGTTTGTAAAATAAAATATATATACGAAATATATGCGAAAAACATATATATTTTTCCAATGGAAACAATACTTTATTTCTCGCTCGTATGATTAATAAAATAGTTCACCATTGTATGTCGTTGTTTTATTCTTATTAATAATAATATTGAAAAGCAAGAGACATAAATATTAGATAAGCCAGATAAACAAATAGCATGATTCGTGTTGATCCAATAGTATTTCATAAAAGAGCTTCACAACATATATTAATTCATATTTTATCATACTTTCATATTTTTATTACAAACTTTCACTTTTGACTATATCTTTATGAAGTTTTTATATAAATATCATTAAGTACTTTGTGTTATCAGTTTCACGTTTAAACAAAGCAAATGTAACAATAAAAGAAAAATTATTTGGAAATATAAGAGCAAGAAATATTTAGAAAAATGTAATAAAAAGATCGAAAAATTTTTAAAAATACAAAATAATATAAATATCGAATATTTTTCATATAATTCGTTTTCGAAATATTTTTTTCTAAGCAAACATTAATACTGTACTATGAAATTTCTTTTACGCATAAGATTTCTTAATGCATCTTTGTTCGCGTAATTTTATTATCTATTATTTATATGGTTTTAACTTACAGTTAAACTGTAATGGTTAAACTGTACTCACCTAAGTTGTTTATGAGAGGCTGTAGAATGATGCGGAGTTGAAGTTCACTGTACACTGACCTTCACTGGTAACTCACTATCAACAAACAGCACACAAATAAAGCGCTAACATTTATTTTCTCTTATAATATCGGGGATAATGGATAAGAACATTTACATCATCTTGAGATCGAGTTGGAGAAAGCGAATTTACTGAGCGAAAGCCGTTCGTTTGACACGAATTGAACGTGAAGTCACGAATTCAAGCGTTGTAAATCGCGCACGTGATATCGAAGTATGCGAATGCGAATCGCAACTATTACTCTCTCGGAGTGAGATATCGATAAACTATGAATTCAGCCGTTCTGCCGAGAAGGATATTCCGAACTTTACGGTATTGTGCGATTTCTAACTTCGTCGCGACTTCCCCAAATAGCTTTTAAGTTTCAAGCGTTAAGAGTGCGCCAACGCCATTTTAGGCTGCTGGCTAATATTATATAATTGTTAATTGACTTTACAATGCTTCATATTATCGTAGGTTAATATAAAAATAGATATTTTTCTTGGGCTATCTAAAAAAAAAAAAACGAGTAAAAAGGTACGAAAGGTACTGATGTAGGATCACTGCACAAATAAGTCAATGAACAAATAAGAAATTCACAATGTATATTGTAAATTATATCGTATGTATAGAAAAAAAATAATATACCACTCAATACTACACAGAAAGAACAGTTTTGCTGGCAAATCTAAAAATTTGATCAAATACAGATCTGAAAATAATTTTGTTGAGCTTTTAAAATTACTATGTACGATGTATAAATTGGCTGCAAGAAGATTAAAAATCTTTGCAACAGATTATAAAAATATTATTTCATATTTATATAATTTTTATGGTTCAACTAAATTATTTTCAGATTTGTAGTTGGCCATATTTTTAGATTTTAGCAAAATTGTTCGCTTCGTGTAATAACTGTATTTATTTGTTCTTTAGGTCATATATTACTTTAAAAAAAAATGAGTTTTTATTAATAAAGAGAAATGTAGAAAATACAAGTATATAAGTGTGATTGGATGCTTCAATTAATAATAATAGAATTACATTTTCCAATAAAAAATAAAATTTGAAAGATATGAGAAATATTAATTAATTTGTAATTCATTATTTTGAAATCTTTTTAATATTTTTGTTAAACATTCATTTACAGTGATTGTTCAGGGACTGGTGCAGACTGTATACAGATTTTAGAAGTGTGCTATATTCTTATCCGAAAAATCTATGTACGTCTATGTACATTGCGCGCCAAAGTTAGATTATCATTAACATCAAAAGTTACAGTTTCATTCGAGATAGGTTGTCGGTGCAACTCGGATTGCTAGATAACTTCAATCTTATCATCGCAAAGATTCGCTAACTACATTACTCGAGAATAATGCACGCGATGAAACGCGATGGTCAAGAGTCAGTCGCAACGAAAATACCATGTATAACGCGTTTACATGATCGCTGGAAGGAGCTGCACCATATGAGCGCGGAGGGAGAGATCATCTTCAGCCAACTCGTAGTTGAGAGCGAGGTGAGACGAATGAGCCCGGCGCGGTCGCTTCGTTCGTAGTGGTTTAGCATAGCGGACGAGAGAAGCCGAGTACGGCCGAGCGCGTGCCCGGTGGTGGGGGCCGCCGCTGCTGCCGCCGCAGTCGCTCGGCAGGTGTGGTGGGGAGAGACGCTCTCTCGTCCCCTGCGCTCGCTCAGTTGCTCCGTCGCCGCCGAAGGGAGTGTGTCGTTGCGCGTTACTGTTCCCCTCGTAACCGCGCCGCGACGGGTTACTCGCGCTTTCGTTATCCTCACCATCGTCGTCGTTGTCGTGTCGACTTGCCACCGTCCATCTCGTCGTGATTTTCTGTCATGGAGACTCGTGCCTCCTGTGCGACGCGGTGAAGCGCAACGGGCGCTTCGCGCGGCCAACTTCAGGGTGCAGTGAAACGAAAGCGCCTTTTCGAGGCGTGCCGCGAAATCACGATTGCACAATTTCGTAAATCGAACGCGTAACAGTAATCGCCCTTGGATCTGACTCGTTCCCAGAATCCACCTGAAGAGACAAGGATAGCCGACAGTGCAGGACTCGACGGGGCGTAAGCCGAGGATCGCACCCGTCGGCGGGACGCGCTTCGGCCGAGATCGCCCGATCGAGGACCCGCGGCCAATATCACTCGGCGTGCTCAAATTTCTGGAAGTTTCGAGATTGGGATGTAACGAGGCTCGGACCTCGAGTGTGTTTTCGTGTGACAGTGACGGTGACAGTTTTGGTTCGGTTTCGATTTTTCACCCTCCTGTGCGATGTGCTACAATCCCGCCAATCTTCGCATCCTTTATCTCGTAAGTACCGTAAAAACGGCTTTTAATTCAGATCAGGCACCGCATTTCTGCGATCGCTTCTTCGATTTTTCTCTCAAAAGCGTGTCGCGAGGATGATTCCTTTAATCTTTCCGAGTACCGCTACCGAATACCCGTTTCCGATTGACAATGGTCGAGATCGAAACAGGTTCCGACGGAACGGAACATGGACAATTCGAAACGCGCGTGCGATCGCATACGAAATATTCTTGTGTTCTGTGAACCTGTGAGAAGTGGAAAAGTGCGAGAGCGTTGTCCGAAATCAGAAATTGATCCGTTAACGTGGACTCGTTTCGGTGCAACGATTCCGATTTCGGACATCGCTTGATCGCGGAAATATGATCTCCGAATTTTGGTGCTTATCTTTCGATCGATCTCGCGTGTGGAAGGTGGTCACCAAGTGAGAAATATCTTGTTGATGCAATTTCGCAGCTCATCGCGCAGCTCTGTGCTCCTTGAAAATACGTCGAAATATTGTGGGAATATCGAGGAATCGCTGATGGAAAATCGAGGATTTTCGTGTGTCTGTTACAAGTTTATGTAAACTTTGACGACTAGTTTTTTTCGTATTTGTGCACGTGTTCGTCCTGTGTTCTTATTAGTGAAACGAAGGGATCACTCTTGTTTACGTTGATACGCAGCGCTAAATTTCGTGTCTCGAATCAATTCGATTGTACATGTGTGAGAATCAGCCTGGTGAAAAACAATCGTGATAACAATCGCGTGTGCGATTTAATTATCTAATTAGTGAGAAAAGCATGGAGGATTTTTTTTAATTTAACAAATTCCGTCACGCGCGGGAATCAGATTTTTTTAAACGCGAATACGTGTGTTTTTAATACTTTTGCATTGTTCTCCTTGGAAAATTCCGCTTCCGAATTTTCGTTCGCAACCAAAATTGTCGGCGAACGCGGTGAATTATGACTCGGGTTACGGATATCGATACAAGCTCCGATATTCAGAGCAGATAAATGGACGAACGAAAAAAACAAATGACGGCTGCTCGGATCAGTTGCGTGCGGGATTTGCGGCAAACGTGCAAAAGAGCAAATTTTTAAATTCATCAGAGATCGCGAAAATACGATAGTTGATTTTACGCGTCTTTTTGCGTACAAAAGGGTGCTCATTTCGAATCGATACGCGAGATTTCGATAACGGCATTTGCGATAAAGTCGCTTGGAAAATCTTGAAAAGTGCACTTCTGAATTTCCCGAGATCGTGCGAGAATTTTTGAATGCAAACTGTAAATACGCGTCAACGTTAAATATATTAATTAGTCATGCAAAAAAAAACTAGCCAAAGCGATAAATATATCAACGTGAAAAAAAAAACGGAAATTACTAGAAACTGAAAATGATAGCATTGTTCTAATCATATCTTGCATATGTTCCAGTTATAAATATGTATTAACAAATGTGTGTGATTATACATTTCATGCGATTTAAATTTTTACAAGTAAAGTAATTTGAATAACGGTGAGCGAGGTCGACGAAAAAATATTAAAAATGTGCGAGGCTTTAATCGGGATCGGGATGAAAATACTATCATCAATTTTATATATTTTTGTGTGCATAAACTAAAAATGTCATATGCACCATTGATTCCGCATTAAATTCATATACTTCATTCGCACTGTATGCAAAGGTTTATATAACGACGGATGCAATTATCAGAATAGAGTTTTTTAAATTTGTCGAATCGCAGAAATGTGCAACCGCTGATTTTACTGTGTTTTTTTTTCTCGCGAAAAGTGTGTTTCTCGCGAAAACAAACACGCTCGTGTGTTTTAACGTGTGACGCGTATGCATAGTTTAGATAACGGTGGATGTAATGAGCATGGGAAATATGGAGAACTGCGAATTTTCTAAAATTCATGGGATCGCGAAAATATGATCGGTGACTATATCATTCTCCTCTGCGAATGTATTCGCTCGCTTCGAACTTGTCTGCAAAAATGTGAAGAGACCAAATTATTAAATTCGCCAGATCGTAAAAATATGATCGTCGATTCTATCTGCTCGAATAAAAAATGTGTATCGATGAAACCGCGTTTTAAATTGAGATGTTCACGTATATAGAATATAAATGCAACAAAACGGTACAAAATACACAAAAATTCCTAAAAAATACCAAAATTTTGAATTTGACATAGCGTGGGGATATAATCGTCTGTTTTATTGTTCACGTTCTGTTTATGATAAATTTAAAAAGTTTATATCGTCGTAGATATAATAAGAAATTGTGCAAACATTTTTGCATATAAATAACAATTGAGAGATTATTGGAAGATTTAAATAATAATCGATACGTAATCGATAACGTAATCAATAATAAACGTACAATGGAAGTAATTCTTAAGCTCCAATATCAAATGTTATAAATTTTTAATTGACGATGTATATTGGAGATTAGATACGATCGATCGGATATCTGATAACTCTGAAAAATGGACTCAAAATTCTATAAATAAAAAATCAATGCAATGAGCTTAGGGAAAGAGTGACATTAAAATTTATATTTGTAAACGTTTTGCAAATGCAACTATGAATTAAGAAAATGCTAATCGCGTAAGTTTAAACTTGTTTATTGTGAAAGTGCGGTTATCAAATAATTTGTGTTGCGGGGAAAATTTGCCAAAAGTGATGAGTGCTAACATATCATGGAACGTTAGGATGTATCAAATATAATACAAAATTGTACGATATATGTGCACATGTTTTTTTGCTAAAAGTGGATATATTTGCGACTCTACTTTTCATAAAAGGAAAGAAAAAAATGTGAAAAGAACTCGGTTTAAAAATGATAATGCAATCCTCGATTTTCCATCAGTGATTTCTTTTCAAATTTACAATGCAAAATCGAAATCAATTCTAATCCAAGTGTGCTACTACGAGCTGCTAGGTTTACCTTCCACGCGTGAATAAATCCGTGCTCCGTTTTCGCAACGTTTGTGACAGAGGGAAATCTCGGTAGCGGCGCGGAAATGCGGCCTTTGATTTTCAATCAGCAACTCCTCGCATCGAAATTTGATTTGTCACCAATGAAAATAGAAGGGAAAAGTCAATTCAAGGAAAACGATGTAATCGCGAGTATGCAATTCTCGATTCTTGGCGATTGATTTTACTTATTCGTATCTCATTTTACAGTATCACAATTTATCCAGGTATTTATTGTGATGACAGTTTCTAATTATAATTCGTTATTAACTATGACACGCGCAGTTAAAAAAAAGTACGTGTCACTGGCGAGTATATAATTAATAACGCAGTGCATGTGTCATCGCATTTTTTAAAATAATAGTGTACATCGTTAATAACAAAGTATCATTGTCTTCGAGAATTATTAAGGTACATATTGCGTTTTCAAACGTGACTTTCAGATACATGTATGACAGCTTATTCATAACTCGTGACTCAGATTCGTGTCTTAGCGTACATTCGGTAATCATATCTCTGCAAGTATAATTACATTTTTTTAAAAATGTTTAAAACGCTTTATGCCTCGGAGAGGTAACTCCTTCATATCGGCAAGTTTATCAAGTTTTAAAAAGATTCAGATCGCATAGACGGCGAATGAAGATACTTGTGCATTTCGAGGCTTGAATTTGCGACTACCGAGCTGCTCTGAATTTCTAAGGATAATTCGTGAGGCGACGCAAGCGTCGCGATGTCGTGTCATTAAGCCAAAGATTACCGGTAGCGACGGAAGGCTTTGACGTGTCCCGCGGGAAGACCTCCTGTTTGGTCTCGTTTTACAAGTCAATGCTCAAAGCGCGCGTGCACGTTACCCCGAGAATACCAACTAGTCTGTTTACACGAAAGTCCACGCGCCGGTCATCGGCTAGTCTGTTCGTAAGTAATTTCTCATTTGCAGCTTGGCAGCATGCCGTTTTGATGACGCGATATTGAAAAAACATTGATTAAGAAGGGAAATAATTTGTATAGTATGCAGACTTATAGACTATTTTTTCATATAGATTCGATAAAGAATGTAACGAATGCCAGCATAGTCAATGTAATTTTTTGTAGGATATACTTTGATTTTTTTGAATATTTATTCTGAAACTTTAATTATCTTGTCGTTGACATGTGAGTTGACGACAATTTGAAAATATCCGTTTTCGTATTTCTTTTGCGAAACTCCCCTAATATATAGTATAAAAAAATATATACTGTGTGTGCGAGGAGCAGAGAGTACTTTCTCATTCTGCTAAAACTGTCATCTTCTTTTCTTGAAATACAATCCTTTCCGTTTAAAAATAAAAGTGAAAGAGGAGACTGGAGACAATTTATCGCAGGGTCCACTTGATTTTAAGCGCAGCCATTCTACGATCGCGTCAGAAAATGTCCATTTTCTCATCCATTTCCAGAGTCGGAACTTCTCCACGAGTGCAGAAAGGGAACAATGTAAACGTACCTGCGCAAATCTGGGAGCGATTAGGGAAATTGTAAGCGTATATATATCCTCGCTTCATTTCGCAATGGGAAACGCGACGGATAAAATCTGGTTTGTATTGCGGAAATCCACATTCGGCGCAATATATAGTTTCGATCGTGTATGCGTAAATCAACGTTGAACTCAAGGCAACGAAACTTAAGGGAACATCGCGGCGTCGCGCGAGCGTGCGGAATAAGTTACCGCCGTCGTGGCGGTACTTCGGCGCGAAGTTTCTTGAAATTTAGGTGCCGGCATTCGTGATAGAGAAGTCGGTTCGAGGGGAGCGCCTGATGATTCATTTATATCAATATTGGATGGGCGCGGAGCGATTAGGACTCGTCCCGTTATGTCGGCGTCGTCCGTCGCGCACGCAATGCACGCACACAACACTTGCGTAACATTTTGCGGCTTGTCGACGTCATTCAGGCACCGGTCGCCTCTTAATCCTCGACTAATTGTGATGGACATAATGCGATAGATGAAATGGCAGTTATTTTTTCGTGAGTTTTTTTTTTGTAATTTATTTAATAAGATGCACCTCTATG